GTTTCCCCGATGTAAGACTGATCACAGCCCTCCTGACACTGAACAGCATACACAACATTACTCTGTTTGTGCCGGGGGACTGGATCTTTGGGATGAACCAGTCTTTGCCGCAATGTATTTTGGGGTTTAAAAGCCACTGGGACGTTATGTTTAGAAAATAAACGTCTCAGTTTCTCTGATACCCCCTCAACATACGGAATGACCACTGGTCTGGGTCTGGGTTCCTCCTTTTCACCTGATGGCTGACTGGAGTCCTGTTTGGGTTTCTTCTCTGCTTTCAGGAAGGCCCAGTTAGGATATCCACATTGCTCTAGAGCCCGTCTTGTGTAGGATTTCTCCTTCTGCCTGGCTCCCGAGTTAGTGGGGATGCTGTCTGCTCTGTGATACAGAGTCCTGATGACTCCTAACTTGTGCTCCAAAGGGTGATGGGAGTCAAACTGCAAATACTGGTCTGTGTGGGTGGGTTTGCGGTACACCTCGGTTTGCAAATGTCCTATCAGAGACTGAGACCTTACAGTCCAAGAAAGCCAAACTGCCATTTTTTTACATCTTCTCGTGTGAACTTAATGTATTTATCCACAGAGTTGATGTGGTCAGTAAAATGTTGGATTTCCTGAGATTTAATTTCAATCCAGGTGTCGTCAACATACCTGAGCCAATGACTTGGTGGTGTCCCTGAAAAGGATGTCAATGCTCTCTTTTCTACCTCCTCCATGTACAGGTTGGCAACAATAGGAGAAACTGGAGACCCCATAGCACACCCATGTTTCTGCCGATAATATTGCTCCCATATGTGAAGTAGGTTGACTGCAGGCACAGTTTCAAGAGTTGACACAGTTGTTCTGTGGAAAGCGTGGTCCTGCTGCTCAGAGTAGAATCTGATTTTAGGATCAGCAGGACCCCGTTTTCCACAGAACAACTGTCCAACAGCTGCTTAAATTGATACCGGCAAGGCCTGAGATGCTTCGTGACTGAGAGGCTGATTTTTCCTCAAAGTTCACCTATCATCGGTTGGAGGGACAAAGGTCCGGCCACTGGCTCTGAAGTCAGCTGGGATTTACCACTCTGCGGTGTGATGGTTCTGGTTCGGTCAGGTTCTGTGTCTTTCTCTCGTCCTGAAACATCTGCAGAAAGGATTCTTCTCTCCTCTCTGAGTTCAGTGCAGAAACTGGGTTTCTTCCCTCCAGTTCTCTTGTGCAGAAGCATGTTTCTCTCTGGAGCTTTCTTGAAGTCCAGTGAAGTGTGTAGAAGAAGTTGTAGAAATAGATGTGAAGAAGAAGTTTAACTTAACTGTCTGTGTGTTACAGATTGACTTTGGTCCACCTCAGTAGGGGGTGGTCCTAACTCTTTGTCATTTTTTATAAAGACCTATTAAATAAATATAGTCCTTTTCTCTCTGCCTTACAAGTTACTTAAAAAAAAAAAAGACCAAATATATTCTTAAGGAGAGATTACTTAAAACACACATTTTCATGAATAAACATTCAGGTATGACATATTTTGAATCAAACTTAAAACATGCAATGTTTCACCAAAAGGTATCGCTGTCCATCTCCTGAAAAGGGAATGTCATTAAACAAAAAGGTTCTTATGGGGTTATCTTCATGGGAACCATTCTGGGAGAAGTACTCCTTTTTGATAAAGGAAGATATCAAAGTAGCGAGTTCAGATTTTTCAAAAACTCCCAAGGTCAGTTGAAAAAAAAAAACTGTCATTAAAACGATCTGTCTGTTTCATGGGAAATGAGTTCATATTGGCAGTGAAGTTAACACAGTGACAGTTTATTTAATTTTACATTAGTGTCAACTAAGAAGTTTGTGAACTGAGTTGAATATTTATAAAACAAAGTCTGTTTGTTTCCAAGGGAATAGATGCATCGTATTTTAACAGTTTCAAACACAAAACACATGAATGATGTTTGTTTGAGATGAGGTGGACTGTTTTTTTAGATGAGGTGTTCCCCTACATACCATACCATACCACTTTATTTATAAAGCACTTAAAACAGCTACAAAGCCAACCAAAGTGCTATACAGACAAAACAACAGGTAACACACAAAGCAAAATACAAAATGAGGTAAATCAGAATATAGACAAAAAACGATGCAGATTCCCCCTCTTTTTGATGTTCAATCCCGATGGTTGTGAATCAAAAAATATTGTCGTCCACACCTCAGGAATGTTTCAAGAACATTGTAGTACATTCCTAAAAGTCAAAGTCTATAATTCCAGGGAAGGAAAACGAAGTTAAAGTTACCCCATATGAAGTCTGAAGGAATAATTCCAGGTAGGGAAAAGGTCAATGTTCTAGGTTATTCCCAGTGTGTTCAAAAGGGTTAATTCCAAATGTTCAAAGGGTTAATTCCACAACGTGAAACAGGAAAGGCAAAGGTATTCCATTTGAGTTTAAAGCGATAATTCCACAGAAAAGAAAAGGAAACTCAAGGGTATTCCATGTGAAGGCCAAGGGGTCCTCTGGAAGGCATGGTGATGTCACTCTCTGGAACGATGGGTTGAATTGTCAGGAGATGCAGTGATATCATCTGGATGATGGATTGGATCAGTTGGATGATGCAGTGATGTCATCTGGATGAAGGATTGGACCATTTGGATGATGCAGTGGTGTCATTTGTAGGAAGGATGGGACCCTCTGGATGATGCATCAGGATGTGGCGTTCATCTGGACCACAGGATATTGGCGTAGGATGGTACCCATCTTGTGATTTCTGGTGACCATCTAAGTGTCTAAGTGCTTTGTTCATGTAATGGAATCCTAAAGCTAAATCTGTTTGCATGCAAATCTAATGTCAACTTAAAAAGGTGTGGCTAATGATTAAATGTTGAAGAAAAATAAAGCATGCACTAAGAAATTTGGTGTAAAAATAAGTAAACAAAATTTAGGGAGCTTAGTTCATTTTGTATAACAATTTTGTTTACTAAAATGGATCACTCGCGTGGTGAGTGTTGAATGAATTTTAAAACAAACTTTAACACGTTGATCAGCTGAGTGTGAGCATAAACAAGAACAATCCCGACGACGACACCCGGAAGTAGATTTCCCCCACTTGTGGGTTGTTATTTTTTCAACCGTTAGTTCTTTTGCTTCTTAGCTTGATCCAGTGGTCAAAGAACGTTGAATTTTGTTTTAAAGTGTATTGTTAATAGGTCTAAGGTGTTTTACCTTACCTATTTCTTTTGAAAGTAAGAACTTAATTTAAAGATTTGTATTCTTAAGTTTTTAATATTTCTATTTTGAGAAGAGTAAGGTTTATTTGAAATTTTGTAGTTTAATTAGCCTAATTTAGATTTTGGTTAAGATTTTTAGTTTAAAAACTCTTTTTAATTAGTTGTTTAGTTTGAGCCTTGTGTGGCTTGATCTAGTTTGAGTACGCAACTGGAGACAGTTGGTTTGTTATTAGATGTATTCTTGTCCACCCTGGAAGGATGTTGTGGGTGAGCGTTCCAAAATTGGAAGCTTTCTGTCTAGTGGGTGGTGTGAACGTGTACTGGACCTTTTTCCTCCCCCACTTGAAGCTTTTCATGGGAGGCTTTTTGGTCATGGTATGTTTTGAGTTGTTTAGTCGTCTTGTTAAGACACTTTTGGTTAAAGGTGAAGGTATTTTTCTGTTGTTTATTCCAATCTTTCATATACTTGTGGTTGGTGTTTTCACCAGGTTTGTAGTATGTGTATAAAGGAAGTGTCGTTTGTCGACCGTTCATCATCTTAGATGAAGAGATTCTAGTAGTGGATGTGGAGCTCTTGCAGGTTGGAGCTGGCAAAAGATCACGCAGTCTCTGATGTAGCTGTTTACATCTTTGCACATTCCTGGCCAGTAAGAAACCTGGCTTAATGCTCTGAGTGTTGCTCTGGCGCTATTGTGTTTTGAAGATGGGGTTTCATGGGCATGTACCAGCATCACCCACCCTATGGTCATCAGGCACCACAAACGAAGGTGAAGTTGTTGGATCAGGAGCAAATACTAACATGCCCTTGAACATTTTCAGGAAAGGTCGTACCTTAAGGAATGTACGAAGGTCAGGATTGAGTCGAGTTCCTCTGAGGAGGAAGTAACATGGTCCTGATTATCCAAAAAAGTTCAATCTGGTCCTCTGGACATTCAAAAAAAACAAAAGCAAAACAAAGCAAAAAAAATTCTAGAAACGTTTCGTCTCTCATCCAAGAGACTTCCTCAGTCTGAGGTGCTGTTTTCAGCTCAGTCTCTTAAATAGCACCTTCTTAGAGTGGATCAACCAGTTTGCTGCTGACAACCAAAACCAGCTGATCACATGCTCAAGAAGGACCATCAGCCTAACAATGGGTCATTAGCACACTGATGGCTGTTTACTACT